GAGAGAGAGAGAGAGAGAGAGAGAGAGAGAGAGAAGTGGGTTTGTGGAAAGGAAGGTACACCTAGCTTATAAAATCTTCATATTTCAAAATGGGTGGTTGTAAGAGTATTATTGATTAGACACTAAGTTTCAAAAAAAAATTCTCAGATTTCGTGACTCACCTCAAGCCATCCAATTTGCCATCTAATGAGTGGGAATTATTGTGACATTGTACAAAAGGTAATGTTCTTTTTTGTAGACAATTCCTATTTTATAACCTTGTTGTAGGCTGAAAATCTTATGTTGCTAAGCAAAAAACAAGGTCTTAAAGCCCGTCTTAGCCATGGTTCTCGGTCCTTGGCCAATGCAAGTAACTCATCTGAGTTTGGTAAATGTCAACATAAGTAAATAATTTGTAAAAAATAATTTAAAATCAGACAAATTAGAAAAGGTGAGAGAAATCATTAGACCAAAGAAAATGAAAAAGAAAAAAAAAATCTAACAATTATTAAAAAATCATAAAAAGAGAAAAGAAGAAGGAAAGTTCAGATATCATCTTAAAAACCATCAAAATTATTTGAGGACATATTTCTAAATGACATATTAGTATTTTCCATATTCTTTCTGGTTTTAATAAATTTTTAAATTTTTATAGCCATTTTTGGTGTCTGGATAGATTGACACTCCTAGTCTTAGAGACCAAGTTACTCAGCCGAATTTGATTCTTAGTGGACCCGGCTGAATATAGAAACATCGGCAAATTTAATGGGCTGAGTCTTAACTGAGACGAAAAGATTTTCCAATGAAGCATTGAAGAATCGACATTCGTATGATCAATCTTTGACTCGACAGTATGATTACTAATTAATAATTCACAAGAAGTCCTGGATCTCTACTCATTATGTGCTTAGATAAATGCTTGTCCAATTGAATCGTTCTTGAATGTCCTTTTCACTGCAAATTAAATTATTCATCAAAAACTTATAGTCTTCTTGTACATCTTGAGAAAATTTTGGTTAACTGTTCTATCATAAATATAGTTGGGAAACGGTTATGATGATGATGACGACGACGATGTTTCATCACAAATACTTTCAAGAATCAACCTATATTTATTTAGTTGCTGGATTCATTTTAAACAGTGGGGTTCCTTTTGATAATTTTTTTTTTTTTGTTTGTAATTTACCCAAGAAACCTGAGCACTAGGTTGATTCGAAATTGGGGGAAAATAAACTGGTGCATAGAAATTTGGGACCATTGTTTGGTAACTAAAAAATTTTAGAGAGAGAAAGAAACTTTTGAAAAGGTAATTATCCCCACACTCACTTTGTGGTGGTTCTGTCATTGGATATGTAATGATTATACAATAACAAAGGAATACAACTTATATACAATTTACATTGTTAACACTTTCTTATATATTACACATGCAATATACACTTTTCTATCTTGTTATATTTTCTTAGAGTTTCCTTGCATGTGTTGTGCATGATTGCATTAAAAAGGATTATTAAATTTTGTTTCCATTACTCCCCTTCAAATTTGGCTCGGAAGGCATAAGAAGTCTGAGTTTAACACAAATATCTCGAAAAATATCTCATGACAAAGGCTTAGTTATAAATACCAGCTACTTGATTGCGAGAGGAAACAAACCAAGTGAGAAGTAATCCAAGATGAGCCTTTTACACACAAAATGATAGTTTAACTCAATGTGCTTTGTTCGAGCATGAAAAACAAGATTAACTGTCATGTAGAGAGCAGTAATATTGTTGCAAAAACGTATTGGTGGCTAAGGAAGAGGCACCCCAATGTCTCGAAGAACATAAGAAATCCATGTCAATTATGTAGCAGTGGATGCCATCGATCAATATTCATCTTCATCACTTAAACCAGCCACAATCGACTATTTCTTAGCCCTCCAATATAGAGAGTTGGAACCAAGATTATTGCATAAATCAGTGGTTGAACGGTGAGTGTTTGGACATCCAGCCAAATCTGCATCAGAGAGCGCATACAACTCAAGATAACTAGCAGATTATATTCTTAGGACACAGTTTCTATGCAACCAGCCTGCATATTGTAGAAATGTGGGCTTGGCAATAAATATATATTTTACATATAATTTGATCCTAATTTTTAGATAATATATAATCTTTAACATGGAGATCATGAATATGAAAAAAAATAAAATAAAATCGAAAAATAGAAATAATAATTATATTAAGAAAATATTTTGACCATTAGTTACAATTGTGTTTAGATGGACCACCTATTTGTATCTATCTTTAAGATGGATGTTTTATACCTTTGGACCGCATATTGTAGAAATGTGGTCCAACCCATATGAAACAATTTTCCATATTTAGGACTGTGTACCATTAAGATAATGAAGAATCAGCTTAACTGCCTGAAAACGTGCAATTGTTGTGACACACTGTATTTACTATGGGATATATCAAGACGTGTCACTGTAATGTATTGGAGTGCACCCACAATGCTTCGATGAATAGATAGATTAGAATTCCCATGAGCATAATCTTCATCTGAGCACGATTAAGGACTCGGACATATTTGGTTTGCAACAAAAAAATTCCAAAGGCCCTATGAGAGCATGTAGCCAATATTGTTGTAGTGGAACAAAAGAACTCCGGTGGGAGTATGGTTTAGAGGGACTGAGGTTGGCTATTTTATTGTCGAGCATCAAACTAGGTTTAACAAGCTAACCTTAAATACCTGGGCATAAAGTACAATCGAGAAGGGCTAGCAGGTTACCTCTTGATGAGGTTGGAGAAGCTTAGGGTAGTTAGCCAAGAGATTATATGACCCTTGTGTGTGATTGGTGAGCCTTAAAGGACAAGGGGCAAAGCCTCATTACAATCCATCACACGACATGTACACATGATAGCCTTATCAAGAAGCAGAGTACCATTGAAGGTGATGCATGCACATGTGCGAGAGAAAACCCCAATGCACAAATTGCGATATGCATGCACATTTCTATGTGACCTAGGAATCTATAGAATAAGATTGTGTCCACTCACATGTTGGTTGACTTTTTTAACCCAATCATGAGTCCCTATGACAA